TTTCTCATCAGAATCAAAATGTTGGATGTATAAACCGTCTATTCATTGATAATAATCACACACACACACACACACACACACACACACACACACACACATACACACACACACACACACACACACACACGCACACACGCACACACGCACACACGCACACACGCACACACGCACACACACACACACACGTAAATTATCTTTACTCTGCACCATATGCAAATTTACTGAAGGAATCAAGTCACATGTTTATTTAAATGTCTCATTTGCATACTGATTCCTGGATGTAGAAGATTTTCCCACAGTAATGCTGCAACCCTTCCAGCTTTTATCTGACAGAAGACAATATTATGATAATTATGAATCTAAATCATTAAAGTGGACACACTAAGCCTAACAGATTAAGCATTTCTGAACACACAGTGTGAGGATGTTACAAACCGTCCTTGTCTGTTAATAGAAAGTTTGACATTTGCATAAATGTGCATGAAGCCATAATATAATCATCACCAACATTTTACCATCTACTATCGTTTCATTTTCATTTCTTGCAATGCCTTTAGGCTGCTGTTTTATCACTTGTGTTGTGCTTTTTAAAAACTCCCTTTATTTTAACAAACTAAAACTGAGAGAGAGAGAATATGATCATATCTATAACAGGCCAGGAGAGGTAAATAAACAGAGCGGACCAAATGAATAAATAATTATGAATTAAAAATAAACAATAATGTCTCCTAAACATGTTCTTCATTCATGAATTTAGTTTTGAAGAACATTTTCTGTACACACGGACTGTAAGATCCTACACTTCAATAGTGTATAACCACAATAATAATCATTCATTCCTTCATTTTCTTTTCAGCTTGGTAACTTTATTAATCTGGGGTCGCCACAAACATTTGATGCAATAGATTTATTCACTTTTTAAAGTAAACAGAGATCATTTTTATAATGTTAGTGCAGTGGGTTTACTCAATCTGTCAACTAATCGATTTAAATGCAACGTGTTTACTCACTTTTTATTTATGCACATAATTTACATAATTTTGTTGCAATGGGTTTACTTACTTGTTTAGATAACGTTAACGAATCACTTTTAAACCAATGGTTTTACTTGCTTTTTAAATTGTGCACATAGTTAATTCACTTAATGTTAATGCTACACGTTTACTCACTTTTTAATTATGCACACAGTTAATTTACTTAATTTTGTTGCGATGGGTTTGCTCAATTTTTTAGATAAAGTCAACTAATCGCTTTTAAACCAATGGCTACTTTTTAATTATGCACATAGTTAATTTACATATATTTAATGCAATAGATTTATTCACTTTTTAAAGTAGACAGATATTTTATATAATGTTAAATGCAGTGGGTTTACTCAATTTGTCAACTAATCAACTTAAATGCAAAGCAATTACTCACTTTTTAATTATGCACATAGTTAATTTACATAATTTTTCGCAATGGTTTACTCACTTTTTTTAGATGACGTCAACTAATCGCTTTAAAATCAATGGGTTTACTCACTTTTTAATTATGCACATTGTTAATTTTACATCATTTTAATTCATTGGGTTTACTCAAAATATGTAGTCAACAAATCGCTTTAGAACTTATGGTTTTACTCACTTTTTAATTATGCATGTTGCTAATTTACATAATTTTAATGCAATGGGTTTACTTACTTTTTAAAAGTCAACTAACCGCTTTAAAATCAACAGATCTACTCACTTTTTAAATGATAAAAATAGTTTATTTGATTGCATTGGGTTAACTCGGTTGTTAATTATGCACATAATTAATCCACACAAAATATTTCTGATTAAACCCATTGAATTAAACTTAAGTCAACTAATTGCTTTAAAAGAAATGTGTTTACTTTTTTTTAATAATGCACATGGTTCATTTACTTACATTTAATGCAATGTGTTTACTCACTTTTTAAAGTAGTCAACTAATAGATTTAAAATTATTGGGTTTACTCATGTTTTAATTATGCAAATAGTCATTTTACATCATTTTAATGCAATGTGTTTACTCACTTTTTTAAAGTAAAATCAACTAATCACTTAAAAAGTGCATAAACGTGTTGCTTTTAAAGCGATTAGTTGACTTTACTTTAAAAAGTGAGTAAATCCATTGATTTTTAATTATGCGCATAGTTAATTTACTTAATTTTAATGCAATTTATTTTAAAGTAAAGTCAGCTAATGCTTTTTTTTCCCCAGTGCACTATTGTTGTGTGCCGCTGTGAGTGTGAGAATGTGTGTGTGTGCGTGTGTTAAAGGGGCTCCATGAGTGTATTCTGTGGCTAAATGACGGCCTGCTGTTGACAGAGCCAAACGAACAGATCCTGATGTAACAGGATGGTCTCTGAGCTCGTGTTTGCTCTCCATACAAACATGATTGTAGACACTGCACAGGCAAATCCTCCGTATACGCAGACGCTCAGAACATAACAGCATGCGCTAACACACACACACTATGCTTTTAAGCAGATTTCACGATCATACTCAGGGTTTCAAATCAGGACGATGCTGAAGTAATCAAATTAAATGAACAACATGCCAAGAGAGGCACTGGAAATGCATGCATAATTACACAGACACAGCTTAAACTCGTCAAATATGAGTCGCATTTAATTATGCGCACAGCAAAATCAATTATATTCACAGAATGCATATATTCATATTATTAAATAATATATTATTAATGTAGTAAAAATAAGATGATGAATATGGGTCACATACCTGACTCACTCCAGAACTGTCTGCTCCTTTCAGCTTTTCCTCCTCATTTTCTTTACACTGGAATGAAACACAGAAACCAATGTAAAATTTACAGTAAACTGAAGCCATTATTACTGTCAAATAATGCTTATATGTGATAGGAAACATCTGATTCTGCTACCAATAGTTGTTTAACATATAGTCCAACTATTTAAACAGTAACACAGTTGACAATTACAGAGATGACAACACCTGTTCAAAGAAATATCCTGAAATTCACTGTGCTTTTGCATATTATTAATAAACATACATGGAACAGAAGTAAAGTACTCCTCTGAAATATTGCACAAGCTCAAACTAACTGACTGCATGAATGACTGAATGAATGAATGAAGGGAAAGGCTTGTCTTATCAAAGAAATCCCACACATTTTTGTCTGTCTTTGTGTTTTGCATTAGGGAGGAAAAATGATTAGTGTTAATTACAGACACACCTCAGCGCTGCGGCTGTGGGAGTTTACAGTGTGTGTGTGAACACCGTGTTCAGACTCATCAGGCACGCCAGCAACAGGTGGCATTAGAGAAACACACACACACACAATCACACCAGTGCATGCACAATCTCACATGTCCACACACACACACACACACAACCGTGCATGCATACACTCTCTCTATCTCTCTCTCTCACACACACACACACACACACTCTCAGTTTGTTTTCATCTTAGTAAGGACATCACACTGACATAGTTTCATGTTAGTATCTCTAATCAGGGGCAGATTCAACTAATAAGCAAGAAAGCTGAGGGGCTTCAATTAAATACCATGTGCTGGAACTCGGTGCTGGAGGGCCGGTGTCCTGCATAGTTTAGCTCCAACTTCCTTCAACACACCTGCCTGGGCGTTTAAGCTGCGGTCACACTGGACTTTTCTCCCCATAGACTTCCATTCATACGCACACAAATGCGTCAGACTGGAAACACAAGGTCATGCAGCAAGTTTCACAGTTTGCTTGGTGAACTCTGACCTGCGAAACGCACCACTTGACTGCGTGAGACCAACTGAGGATCAAAACATGACCTCTCTGGACAGAAATGTAAAACATGGAGCAATCGCTTGCTTATTTAAATGTCTAATCATCTTGTTTACTCCCGCCCCTTTTTAGCAGCGCCGCACGACAGAATCTCGCAACTAGTGCGATCGCAGCTTCAGCAGACCTAGTAAGAGCTTGATTAGCTGCTTCAGGTGTGTTTAATTGGGGTTGGAACTAAAATATGCAGGACACCGGCCCTCCAGGACAGAGTTTGGGCACCCCTAACCTAGACATATGAATTATACCTATAAATTACATATAGCAGCATTTTCTACCATATTTTGTTTGATGAGCGTCTAAAACAAAATAAAAGTTTAATGTTTATTACATCTGCGCAAACATATCCCCCTTAGTCAATCACAGAGAGGTCCAGCAGTCAAATTAGGTAAAGATTTAGTTTTAAAATGAAATAGTTTGAGGATTATTTTTAGTTGAGAATTAATTTTAAGAAAACAAATCAGTTAAAAAAAGTTTCACCAGATGCGTTACATTGTGTTATTATTAATTTGCATTGAGACAAAACATAGAAAAGGAGTGATTGAGTGATATAAGAAGAAAAAAAGAGCAAAATAAACCAATTAAAAATAAATTAAAGTACAAAAGGTGCATTTTAGAACTTTTGGCTGGAATTGCTTACGGCCCCCAAATCACTAAATCCGGCTCGTCTCTAACCCGAACCTCACTGAAACAACAGCACACATCACTCAAACCATCCTCAAGACTTTTAATGAGTGGTGTGCAGTGAAATGTCAGCACTACAGTGGCTCGTTTTGATTTCTCACTATACAGCAGAGGACAACTGAGCAAGTAGCTAACCCAGCACACACACACTCATACACACAACAGCACAATCAGTGCTTTAAACAAGTCCCTCCACCACGACTTTGTGTGTGATTAAAAGCAAAAAACAGACTGGTTTTCTTACTCGAGTGTGTGTGTGTGTGTGTCTGTGTGTGTTGATCCCGGTTGCTAACACGCGCGTGTTTGTGTGGATACAAAATACCAGCCCGCTGCCAGATTTTTTCTCCTCCCCAGTCCTCGATGACGTCACGCGGAGTGTTTTCTTTTTTTTCTCTCCGCGGTTGCCGAGCAACGAGAGGCGTGTCCGGGGTTTAAGAACTAGGCGAGGAAAGCCCTGCGCGCATCTGACGAATCACTCCAGTCCAGACACCGGAGCGCGCGGCCGCGGCAGCGAACGGGACACCGGGAATCCCCGAGTGTCGGAACCGAACATGCTGCTTTGATCAGCCGGATGGAACGCGTTCGATGCGCTATTAAAGAACTCTTTGATCTAGGATTTAAACTGCTTTTGCGTTCCTTCCACTCATGAGGTGCGTTCTGCACTTGGAGAGTTCCATTCCTAATTATTTGTATTATTTTTTTGGCTTTAATATGACATGTTTTCAGGAGCGCTCTCTCTCTCTCACTCTCTCTCTCTTAGGATTATCATTTTTATTATTATTATTATTTTATTTTTTTATTTATTTGTTAAATTTCAGGCAGCCTCCGACTGAGTTTGATAGCATGGCACTGAGCGGAACGATTTTGCCCTCCATCTCCACCTTCGCGAGCGGCACCGATGTGAAGCACAAGGCCGTGTTGGGACCCGGAGCTGCCGGTTCAGTGAGTATCTGCACAGGTGTTGCTGGTCATGATGATCGGTTAATTCTCACGGTTTCCACCGAGCGAGAGATTATGACAGAGTTGTTGCTCCGCGGCAGGGGCGTGAACCGATCCGGCGGCTCGAGCTGTTCTCCGCATGGGAAATATCTGACATGCACTGATTATTACAAAGTACAGCTTCTAGTTTAGTGTGGATCCTCCTTTAGCTGTGAGGTGTTTAAGTGAAGGAAAATATGATGAAAACAATACTAGTTTATTATGTTTTATTGTGTATTTATTTTTTGAATTAATATAAAAGTCTATACTGAATACTCATTATCATGTTATAGTATTTGCATTAATAAAAAGTCAATAGTATTTACTACAGGCGTGTTGTAATATGATATATTAGTTGTAGAAAACCACTTGTCAAATATCTGACATGCACTGATTATTACAAAGTACAGCGTTTAGTTTAGTGCGGATCCTCTTTTAGGGTGTGTTGTTAAACAAACAAAATGCTAAATCATAATAAAGAGTATCTGAGTAATTGACGAGCGCAGAGAGAAATATCTGATGAAAAAATACTTCATGTTACAGTATTTGCAGTAATATAATAAAGTCTACTGTTTTTTTACTTCAGTAATCTGTGGCGTGTTGTAGTGTGATATAGTAGATGTAGAAAACTAATGTAACATGCACTGATTACAAAGTTCAGAAGTAAAGTTGAGTTTATATTCACACATTCAGACGTTCTCTTTTATAATATTGAGCAAATAATTCTTTGCAAATGATCATATCAGCAGCCTGTGACTATCACAGTACAACACTGTTGACAGTCAATTAAATATAGTGCTGATGTTGTTTTGACCAAATGTGTGAATATAAAACCAACTTCACCTCAATATTCTCCTTTTGTTTGGGTCTGTAGTTATAAACCAACACAATACTCGCATGAAGGAGTCTCTGAGTAATTCATGAGCACTAAGGGGGAAATTATCTGTGATGAAAAATTACTAAACTGTCAGAAATGCAAGGGTATGCAAGCTGTCTCTGATGCGATACAAATGTGTACCTAAAAGGTCCATATTAATACCTTAAAGGTACATATAGTAGATAAAAAGTGCAAAAGTGTTCCTCTTAATTTTCTTGGTACTAATATATACACTTTTGAGGTACCATTAAGTACAAATGTGTATCTTTTGAAAAAGGTACCACTCCGCTGACAGCTTGCGTAGCTTTATTTCTGAGAGTGTAGTTCATTATGTTTTTTGCATTAATAATAACTTTAGTTTTTACTACAGTAATCTGTGTTGTGTTGTGTTGTGTTGTAGTATGATATATTGTATAGTTGTTGAAATCTACTTGGGAAATATGTCACATGCACTGATTACAAAGCGCAGCGTTTAGTGAAGTGTTAAAGTTATTAGGGTCTGTAGTTTTACACAAACAAAATGTTAAATAATAATAATAAAAAAGTGCATGTGAGTAATTGACGAGAGCATATCTGTTATGAATAAATACTAGTTTATTATGTTTATCATGTTATAGTATTTGCAATAATATAAAGTCGAATGGTTTTTAATCTGTGAGTTTTAGTGTGGTATATTAGCTGTAGAAAACGTAATTGTGAAATATGTAACATGCACTGATTATTAGAAAAGTACAGCGTTTAGTTCAGTGTGGATTCTCTTTTAGGGTCTGTAACTATAAACAAACAAAATGCTAAATACCAATAAATAATAATAATAATAATAATAATAATAAAGAGTATCTGAGTAATTGACGAGCACAGAGAGAAAATATCTGTGATTAAAAATACTAGTTCATCGTGTTACAGTATTTGCATTCATGAACTCTTCAAGCTTTTACTACAGTAATCTGCATGATCTGTTCTATAGTTGTTGAAATTTGTCACATGCACTGATTATAAAGTACAGATTCTAGTTTTGCATGGATTCTCTTTACTGAGGTAAAGTTGGCTTTACATTTCACACATTTGGTCTTTCTCCTTAATAATATACAGAAAGGTATTCTTTGCTAATTATAAATAGTGAAATCATATCAGCAGCCAAAATACAACATTGTTGACAGTCAATGAGGCAGTGCTGGTGTTGTTTTGAAGTCATTTGTATATGTGATTTCAGACTGAATATTCAATAGTACCATGGTAAAGAATATAGGAAGTGTGTTACAAGTTGTCACTGAACAAATGTGTGAATCTAAAACCAACTTTACCTCAAATATTCTTTTAGGGCCTGTAGTTATAAACATAAACACAATAATGGCTGAAAGAGAGTGAATAATTCATGAGCACAGAGGGAGAACTGCTGTGATGAAAAATACTGAAGTATATAATGCTGTAGTATTTGCATTGATACACACTAATACATGCTTTAGATGTGTTGTAGTATGATATTATATATATATATATATATATATATATATATATATATATATATATATATATATATATATATATATATATATATATATATATATATAGAGAGAGAGTGAGAGTGTGTGTGTGTGAGTGAGAGAGAGAGAGATATATATATATATATATATATATATATATATATATATATATATATATATATATATATATATATATATATATATATATATATATATATATATATAAATATATATATATATATATA